AAGAAAGTTGAGGCTGTGCTGTATGAGGGAAGATCTGAAGGTGAGGTTGTGCTGTATGAGGGAAGTGTTAAGAAAGATGGGGCTGTGCTGTATGAGGGAAGACCTGAAGGAAGATGAGGTTGTGCCGTATGAGGGAAGATCTGAAGGTGAGGTTGTGCTGTATGAGGGAAGATCTGAAGGTGAGGTTGTGCTGTATGAGGGAAGTGTTAAGAAAGATGGGGCTGTGCTGTATGAGGGAAGATCTGAAGGAAGATGAGGTTGTGCCGTATGAGGGAAGATCTGAAGGTGAGGTTGTGCTGTATGAGGGAAGATCTGAAGGTGAGGTTGTGCTATATGACCGAACTTTGAAGTTAGTATAGATTATTGTGCATATATATATATATCAGACGTTGGGTTTGGTCGTTTGTGTTTCAAGCTGACAATTCAAACCAAGATGAATACTGATCAGAATACCATGTTGGTGTTGATTATAATACAATAAAACTACAACGACCTTTTTCAGTTGAATTTTGTTTCTTGGAGTTTATGGATCACGTGGACAATAAGTCGTATGTTTCGTTTCACTTGGACTAACTGAGGATATATATATATATTTAAATTTCAAACATAAACAACATAACTATATTAATATGTAGCAATTAAGCATTTCCATTTTCAATATGAAATGTGAATTGTTAGCTTAGTAGTAGCCGGTTTCTTAAAAAAAAAAAACATGCCAAATGTTGTTTGTACACGTTATATCTCAAAGCTAAATAATGTATGTTCTATTATACAATGAAGTAAACCGAATATTTCTGTTGCAGTACTGCATTGTACACAAACATCTACAATGTACGATTAAATCTGTATTTTATCAAACCATAAACTGTACAATCAAAGTTTTCTAGCGCACATAACAGATACAGATAACATTGTACATTAGTTTGTGTGTGTATAACATAACCTCTCCCGTCTAGTTTCTCTGATAAACATAGCATACTAGCCATGTTCCCTCAGCTACGAACATAACATTGTTTGTTTGTAATTACGTCGCAAAGCTACACGAGGGGCTATCTGCGCTACCCGTTTCTAAGTTTAGCAGTGTA